AAAATTATTGGAGGAGATTTAAATAGTTATGTTGGTAGAGTGGTAGAAGATTTAAGAAGCACTCAAGTTGGCTATGAATTTGGAGTGATTAATGGAGAATGTAGAGCATAATTAGAATTTGTTTTAGCTTATGCTTTTTTTATTGCTAATATTTTATTTAAGAAAAAAGATTGACATATTACTACTTATAAAAATAAATCTAATCAAATACAAATTCATTAATTTCCTATAAAAAAAGACATCGTCGAGAATGTAAATATTGGAATGTCATTCCAAGTAAATATTTAAGTACTCAACATCAATTATTAGTTATAGATTTTAAGACGGGGAGTTTAAAGATAAAAAGACAATGAAAAATTGTTATAGAATTAGAAGGGGAAATCTAAAATAAAATTAATTTTAAGAGTAAACTTTAATATGTGGAGATTTGGGATGTTGATGAAGAAGGTAATTCTATGTAGGATAAAACGACAAAAGATGTACTTGCATAACCAAAAGAAAAAGTTTTTATAAATAAAAATAGTTGGTGGTGGAAAAATAATGTGAAAGAAAAGATAAAATATAAGAAGCTTTATTATAAAAATTGGTTTAAATATAAAAGTAAAGAGAACTGTGAAAAATATAAGGTGACTCATAGGGAGTCTGAGAGAAATTTTGTGATGTTGAGACTTTTGCTTTTAGTAATCTTTATAATAAATTAGACACTAAAGATTATGTAAGATATATGTATAAACTAGCTAGACAAAAAGAGAAGAAAAATAAAGATTTAATTTAAGTAAAATGTATTAAAGACAAGAAATCAAAAAGTGTTTTTATTAGAAGAAGATGTTCAAGATAGGTGAGCGAGATATTTTCATAATCTTTTCAATAAAGTTTTTGAAAATACAATCAACTTTAGTGATTTTAATATTGTTAATAATAATAATAATTTATTTTTTTTATTTTTACCGTCACATTAGGAAAAATGAAGTTGATGAGGCTTTAAAGAAAACCAAAACTGAAAAATAAGTAGGGTTTGATGATATCCAAATAGAAGTGTATAAATATTTAGAAGGTTTAAGAGTTTCTTGGCTTACTTAACTTTCTAATATTATTTAAAACTAAAAAAGCTATCTGCAGAGTAGAGGAAGATTATTTTAATATTATTTCAAAACCTAAGAATAAAGGGGATACATAAGAGTGTGCAAATTTTAGAGAAATTAAGTTATTGTATTATACATTAAAGGAAAGAGTAATTAAACATGAGTTAAGATGTGATACAAAAATTTCTCATAATTGGTTTGGATTTATGTATGTCAAGTCTACTATGGAAGCTATACTTCTTTTGAGATGTTTTTTGGAGAAGTATAAAAGGAATAAGAAGGAACTACATATGATCTTTATTGATTTAGGAAAAATCTTACGATAAGGCTCCAAGAGAAGTTCTTTGGAAAGTTATATAAAAGAAAGGTGTTGATATGACTTATATTCAAGTCATTAAAGATATGTATACTAAAGTTGTTACTTGTGTTTGAACACAAGAAGAATTGACTATGTATTTTCCTATTTCAGTTGGATTACAACAGGGATTGGATTTAAGCCCATAACTTTTTTGTTTTAGTTTTGAATGCTCTTATTGGACATTTACAAAATGATGTGCATTTAAAAAGTGTTAAACTGTTAGATATCTCAGGTCTATTATTCAAAGTGATGGTGATATTGATGGGGGGATGTTATTAAATGTTATTAATAGAATTCAAGTTTGATGGTTGAAGTGGAGGAATGCATCAGGCCTATTGTGTGATAGAAAAGTATTGCTTATACTTGAAGGAAATTTTAATAAGATTGTGGTGAGACCTGCAATGCTTTATGGCGAAGAATGTTGGCCTTTAAAAGAAAAGCATAAAACTAAGTTATGTGTTGTTGAGATGAGAAGGTTTAGGTGGATGAGTGGCTTGACACTTACAAACAAAATGTGAAACGAATGTATCTGTGAAAGTGTTAGCATAGCTCCAATGACAGACAATATTAGAGAAATTTGTCTTAGATGATTTAGTCACATTAAACGTTGAACACTTGAAGATCGGGTCAGGAGAACAGAAGCTTTAGATTTGACTTATGATAAGAAAGTTAGAGGTAGACCTAAAAAGATAAAGACAAGTTTTATAAAATATAACATAATTTATTAGAACTAAAAAAATAGGATCTCTCATAATTTGCACAAAACCCTAATTTTCCCACTTTTAAATGTGTTTATAACTAGCTCTGCATTTCTAAAAAAATAGTCTAGCTTTCTTATCTGATGATTATTTGAATTTGCTAAATTTTTTAAATGTGTGTCATGAAATTACCATCATGAAATTATGGCACCAATATTTCTTAATGAATTTCGATTGTTAATTATCTTGTTGTTAAAAATTAGATGTTTCATTTTAAAATAAGTCAAAAAAATCTAAAAAATTTTGTTGACATCTTTGAATATTTTCTTAAAATTTATAATTTAACAATGTTAATTTTTTATGTAGAAATTTAGTATGACCTATATATTTTTTATTCTATCATTTTTTCCTTTTTTATCTTCATGAGATTTTTGTGTTTTCATGTGCCTCAAAATTAGCTAAATTATTTTTGTGAACTCTCCTTAATATATAAACTTTTCATAAAATATTTTAGGTCTTCCATTAAAATAATTTTTTTATGAAATCATTAATTTTTTGTTGATCAACAATTTCAACATTACATAGTCATAAGAAAAAATTATCGAAGCAACAAAAAAGAAGATTTTCATAATACACGTTGCGATTAGAAATAAATTTTAGTGATCTACTTTTTTTTTTATAATTTTCATTTATTTTTCACCTTTTTTTTATATCTTCTTTTATAAATTCAATTTATTTGTGCATTTCACATGTTTCCAAGTTTAAAACTTAATTTGCAATTTGATATACAATAGGTATCAATATTAGTGAATTTAGGGAGTCAACATTGATATTGAGACTATTGAAATTCTTTGAGATAAGCTAAGAGCATGGTAAAAATTATATTATTATAATAAAGATACGCCCCTTTAGAGGTTGAAGTAAGATTTTGGAGATTTTAGAAGTTAAGGAAAACCTTAAAATCCTTGGGGTCAGTGATTGAGGGTTTATTAATACCTTGTAATTTTTTTTTCTTTTTTACTTTGAAAAGAATTTATATTTTCCAAGCTCTTAAATGTTTCTTTTTTAATATATTAATATATTGTTTTATTGATGTTTAATGTGCAAGTTTGATAGATTTTATAATTAAATTGTTGAAGAACTCTCAACCTCTTGCATATAAGTATTCAATATTGATGAGAAATTGTCTTTTATTATAGATCAAGCCTTTTATATATCTTTGAGATATGCTTTGAATGTTTAGTTCTTTTTAAAAGAATGAGACTATTATAATTGAACTTTTTTAGTCAGCACTAAAAAATATCGCCCTTAATTAAAAATAAAAGACATACATTTCTTAATTTATTAGGGTTTTATCATATGTTAGACACTCTTTAAATATTCTAAATAAAGTTGCGTCTTTGATATCTTTAGATGTATAAAGAGGGAGGCTTATTACCATTTAAGATTTTAATGTGAATAAGAAATTTATTTTTTTTTTTAGTTTTAACCCTTGAGATTTTTAATAAATAAAGAAATATATAATAAAATTCCATTCATATTCTTGATATAAGCAAAAAATAAAATAAATGTATCTATTTAGATTTACACATTATGAGACTTTTAAGTAATTATAAAACCTTATTCCTTATATAGCTTATGTATTTTGGGCTTTTGAGTGAAGTTATATCTTTCAATGCCTTTGCCTTCTAATATTTTTAAAGAATATGAATCTCTTGAAACTTTTTGCTACTATGATTTTTATAGAATAAATATATTTTTGAGTTTTTTAGCTAATGAGATATTTAGGACCTTTAAAAAGTTGAGGCCTTCTAATGTTATTTCTTTCGATGTTTTGTAAACGATATATACTTTATGAGGATTTCATCTTTTAAAATTTTAAAATAGTGAATACTCTATCACTTGTTATCATAGAAAAATTTTAATAAGGATCCTATGTACCACTAATTTCTCATTGAGGCATTCTAAGTATGCCTTCTAATATTTTAGAGCGAATATATTGTCATCACTTACTCCCATGGAGTCATTTTAGTTAAATGAAAAGATGCGATTTTATTTGTGAGAAGGACAAAATCATTGATATTTAACATGAGATCTATGAAAATGTAGACTACTCCACCTCTATGAAATAGAAAATATATTTTAATAAAATTAAAATAAAATGGAAAGAACAATTTTGTTAAGTTGCTTCAATAAATTAGAGTAGAAAGCTTAGATTTAAAGTGGAGGCTAGATGCAACAACTATAAAATTAAATAATAATAGCTGATTTAAAATTTATAGAAATTACTAAACAATTTTTTTTTACTATATACATGTAATCAATTCAATTATAATAAATGTTTAGTTCACTAAGACAAGATTTAGTATACAATTTTTACTTTCTTATTCTTTAATCAAGAAATAATTTATTACATTCATCAAGTTAATCAAGTCATATGCTAAATATGAATTGATTTAGAAAGTAACAAACTATTGAACTGATCCTCCTTAAACTTCAAGTATTCTCACAAGGACACCAGTCAACTATCACCTAAGCATATTAAAGTGGCCCCAAAGAAGAGAACTCATCTGAGAACACAACAAAATTAGCTCGAAATGAGCTCACAAGAAGGAGAAATTATTACATTTGGTGTTCGCAAATCCGAACATTGACAACGATCTGATCGTGTGAAATGCATCGTGATATCGTGAGATCATCGTCAATGTCCGAACATACAGTAATAATTTTCTCACAATAAGAATTTTTTTAATGAAAATTCTTCCTCAAGAATTGATCCTCAACTTGGAACTCATAAAAAGTTGTCTAAATACTTTATAACAATTAATATCTAACATTTTACTAATACTAAACAATATATATATATTGCGCACTTATTAGGCTTGGCATTGAATACATTTGGCGTATTTTCTGGCAGAGATTCTTTTAATGCCTATTTCGTCTCTCTGTCTTCTCCTCCTGCAATCCAAAAATTCAATTTTTTTGTTTTAGGGTTTTCTCGGTTCTTCAGCCAGATCTAGGAGGATCTCTTCTCTCTTTCTTCCTCTCCAGCTTCCCCACTAGCATCCCACCCGTCCGTCTTCAATGTCCTCTTCTTCTCTGGCGTCGACGGTGACTTCGACGTCGTATTGGTGCTACAGCTGCAGCCGCTTTGTTAGGGTTCGACCAGGCGACGGCATCGTCTGCCCCGATTGCAACGGCGGGGCTTGCAGCGGCGGCTTCCTCGAGGAGGTCCGCAACGCTCCTGTTCCTTCCGGCAACATTCGCCGGAGGCCGGCATCATCCGGCGACCCGCCGTTTCTCACCGCTCGCCGGGTTGATGCGGTTCCCCGCCGCGGCCGCCGTGCATCGGTTGGTAACCGCTCCTCGTTCAACCCTGTCATTGTCTTTCGTGGCTCCTCTTCTGAGGTTACACGGCCCAGCGGGAGTAGCAGCTTTGAGCTCTATTACGATGATGGTGCCGGCTCAGGGCTCCGCCCCTTGCCTCAAAGCATGTCGGATTTCCTCATGGGGTCCGGATTCGATCGGCTCCTTGAACAACTAACGCAGATGGAGAGCGGCGTTGCGGGCGGAGTGAGGAGCCACGAGAACAATCCGGCATCCAAGGCGGCGGTTGAATCGTTGCCTACAATTACTATCACTCCTACCCATGTTTCAGTGGACTCTTACTGCGCTGTTTGCAAAGAGGCGTTTGAAATTGGCGCTGAAGCTCAGGAGATGCCCTGCAAACATATCTTTCATCGAGATTGCATTTTGCCATGGCTGTCGTTGAGAAATTCGTGCCCTGTTTGCCGGCACGAATTGCCCACTGATGCTGGAAGTGGGGGTGGAGAGGCTACCGGGCAGGCTTCGATTGGCGCGGAAGATAACTCAGTTGGGCTTACCATTTGGAGACTTCCTGGTGGTGGGTTTGCAGTGGGGAGGTTTTCTGGTGGACGTCAAGCTGGGGAGAGGGAGCTTCCTATGGTTTATACAGAGATGGATGGTAGTTTCAGTTCAGGCGGAGCTCCAGGGCGGACGTCATGGTCTTCAAGAGGGAGCCGTTCAAGGCAAAGCAGAGGGATTGGCAGAATAATTCGAAACTTCTTCTCGATATTTGGATGCGTTGGTTCGTCTTCTTCCTCCTCTGTTTCGTCTTCAAGGTTGAGATTATCTTCTGCATCACAATCTTCTCAAAGAAGCTGGAGGTATTCTACTCCTAGTCGTTCACACAGGCTCAATGGTTGGTCTTATGAAGATGGAGGTAGAAATGAAATGGTTAGGTGGTGAAGAAGGCATGCAACCTAAATAAAAACTGCTTTTTTATCAGCCATTTTTGCGCAATGAAATTTAAATTTGAAGCGTGTCGGTCAGTCTATTGTTCTTATCAATTAATCAAGCAAAGAGATCCACTCCCCAGTCTTCAATTCTGCTCTGATCAAGGAAGAAATTCGTTAAATTTTGGTTTGGGGACAGGTATAGTTTAATTCGTTTTTGAGACAGAAAGTACATGAATTCGTGTGCGATTATTGTTTCATACTTATCTCCTTTCTTTGATTTCTTTCTATGGTTTGTTCATTTTGAAAATTTATTCTTGTACTGTGGCTTTGTTGTTTATATGTGATACCGTTCTTGAACAGAAGCTTTAAAACCAGTTATGATTCTCTATGCTATACGATCTGCTGAGATGTGTCATCTCTGGATCACTATTTTAATGAAAAATTAATTTTTTTACTTTCATTTTTATTCTGTGCTAATGACTGAATTGGAATTTATGGTGGGATGTTATTGAGCTTCAGATGAGTCTCACTGCTTTTTATGGTGTATGAATTGTTACGTTATAAATTTCGTTAAATGTTATGTTAAGTTTTTTAATGTTTTAAAGCTGGATCTTTTTGCGTTACTATGTTTTTGTATGGAATTGAGAAACAGTGTTTATTTTTTCTTACCGCTGATGTTTAATGATTGCTTGCTACGATATAAATTTTGTAATTTGTTTGATTAATTTGCATCTGCAAGGTTAATTTATGCAGAACATTTGATCTTAAAAGAATGGAGTTTTGCTCAAAACTCTCATTAATGCATTTGTTTCTGATTTTTTTGCATTCCAGATAATTTTTTATTGATGTATGTTTCTAGTTTTAACAAAAGCTTTTGGAGCATGATTTATGTTTTGAAATTTTATTATAAGATTGATCAATTAGATTGGTTGCTTTCCTTGATGTAAGGGCATCTTTTTTGCATTAAAATTTGTTGTAATTGAAGGTTTTGATCATCATGTGTGTTCATATTAAGCATTTTGATGTCAATATGATCTAAATTTATTTTCATTGTTTGTCTATAGTCTTTAGTTATTATTTTAATTGTTATGATTGATATGTTCACGCGTGAGTTTAGTTTGTTTTATTTGTTGGATTTCCTCACTCATTCTTTCTTTATTGGAGGATAATCATGGATTGCGTGTTCATATTATGCATTTGTACGTCATTATCATTGTGAATTTATCTTCTTAATAAAGTGTATGAAAGATGAAACGCAAAAGTACTTTTTTTTTTTGAAGATATTCAACATAGGTGGATAAGGTATTTTGATAAACTTTTAAGTTTTTGAAAGTGTGGTTGATTTTAGTAATCTTAATATCGTGAATAATAATAATATTTTTTATTTCAACCTTATCATTAGTAAAAAAGAAGTTGGGAAGGTTTTGAAGAATATAAAAGGTGAAAAATCAGTATGACCTGTTGGTAGCCCGATAGAAGTGTGGAAATATTTGGGACATTTGAGAATTTCTTAGTTTTAATATTATTTAAAAATCTAAAAAGAGGCATGGGAGTAAAGGAAAATTATTTTGATCCTCATTTTTAATAATAATTGGGATGCGCAAAAGTAATTGAACAAAGGTTAAGACATGATATAAAAATTTCTCATAATCAGTTTGGATTTTTACCGGGCAAGTCTACCATAAAAGCTATACATTTATGAGAAGTTTTATAAGAGAAAGAATGATGAAGGATCTGCATATGGTTTTTATTCATTTTGAAAAACTTACAATATGGTTCTAAGAGAAGTTCTTTGGAGAGTTCTAGAATAGAAAGGTGTTGGTATGACTTATATTCAAGTCATTAAAGATGTGTATACGAGAGTTGTTACTTGTTTAAATAAAATGAGGATTGACCGAGTATTTTCTTATTTTAGTTGGATTACATCTGGGATCAGCTTTAAGCTAGTATCTTTTTGCTTTAGTTATGGATGCTCTTATTGGAGATTTACCGGAGGATGTACCTTGGTGTATGATTTTTGTTAATGATATCCTTCTTGTGGATAAGACTGGTGGAGATCAAGAAAAACTTGAATTATGGATGTCTACTTTAGAGTTTAAAGGCTTTCATTTGAGTAGGTCTAAAACTAAATACTTTGAATATCATTTTAGCAGTAGTAGCTCTAGCGGCAGTATTGCACCAATGAGTGATCAAATCATTAAAAGGAGTGAATTTTTTAAATATCTCAGTTTTTTGTTCGAAGTGATGGTAATATATATGAAGATGTTATTAGTAGAATTCAAATTGGATAGTTTGAGTGGAGCAATGCATCGGGCTTATTGGTAATAGAAAAGTTCTGCTTAGACTTAAAGGAAAAATTTATAAGATGATGGTGAGACCTGTAATGCTTTATGCTTGGAATGTTGACCTATAAAAGGGAAGCATACAACTAAGTGTTATTGAAATGAGAATGCTTAGATGGATGAGTGGTTTTACACTCAAAGATAAAATGTGAAACGAATATATATGTACAAGAGTTGGTGTAGCTAAAGGGACAAATAAGATTATAGAGAGTTGTCTTAGCTGGTTTGGTACATTGAATGCCATCCATCCGATGATTCGGTTGTGAGAGTAGATGTTTTTTATTCTACCTATGTTAAGAAAGGTAGAAGTAGACTTAAAAAGACTTGGGCATATTGTATAAAAAATGATGTTAATTCATTAGAATTCAATGAAAATGCGACATTCAATAGGACACAATGGTGAAAAATTATTCATATAGCTGACCCCACTTATTGGGATAAAAGTCTTGTTGTTACTATTTGTTTATTTATTTATAGTCTTTAATTGTTATTATTTTAAATGCTATAAGTGGTAGTATGGTCATTTGTGAATAGTTTGTTTTATTTGTTGGATTTTCTATTATAAACTGCGATTGAAAGGGACTTCCAATTATTCAATTCATAGCTATTCATTGAAATGGCCTTTTGCAAGTGCTTAAGATTGTGTATATTAACTCTTCCTCATATCTAGCACTAATTAGAGATGTTTACAATTGATGCTCTCTTTATTCAAAGTTAATTCATCTTGTAATCTATTTTTAATTTTCTTTTCTTTTATTTTAAACTTGTATTCCTCTTTTCATCTCTTATTTCTCAGGATGTGCATCATTTGGTTAAAACCGAAAACTAAACCGAGCCAAATAAGTTTGGTTTTGAATATGCATTTCTGTTTTTTGGATTTTAAAACCTTAATATTTAGTTTTTGGTTGTTGACTCAGTTTCAATTTTCATTTAACCGAGCATACCTAAAAAATTAAAAAAAATGCAAATTAAATGGAGAATTCATCATAACTAAATTGATATTATACATATAATATATAACTTTTAATATTTGTCGGTAACCAAACACAAACTAAACTAACAACTAAATTTAAGTTGTTTAATACCGAACCGTTTAAACCGAGTTAAATTTCGGTTTTGGTTTGATCAAAATTTTGATTTGTACGGCTTTTTGGATTTCGGACTTGGGTTGCAATCGATCTGTCCAGTTTAAAAACCGAACCATCGTGACAGACTCTCACAACTACCATTTCTTAAAATTTTACCAGGTCTCATTTTACAGTTTCTCTTCCCTGTTTTGACATGATCAAAGTAGCCTTTTGTACTGAACCTTAGCTTTGAATGTTATTAGACAATTTCTTTCCCCTCAAAGCAAGATAGCTTTCCAACTTGATTGTAATATTAAATATTTATAACTTCATTACTCTTGACTTGGAGATTTTGTTTGGGCTTTGTTTTAGGAGAGAATAATGAAGTAATGACTTTAGTTGGGCTCTGTTTAGGGTTTATTAGGGTTTATTTTAAGCTTTTCTCATTATAATGTGTTTAGAGAGTTGCATCTTATTTTTTATATTTGGGGCATTTACACATAGCACACTAATTATTTGGCACTATTATCATCACCTTTTGAATGTGATAACACGCCTTTTCATTATAGGTTTCAAACATCAAAGTGCTATGCTTATAAATATGAAAGGTTGGATGTGAGACATGTAAATTCGTAAGAATTGTGTGTTAGGTGTCTTGGTTGGCATCCACGGTATAAGACCCCTCAGGTCGGGGGTTTCAATCCCCTTTGGCACAGTTGGCCTTAAGGACGTGTTACTCGAATTGTTAGGCACATTATGTGTGGATATATATATATATATATATAAAATAAAAAACAAAAATTACAGTGTTCTAAGTTTTTTCTTCTGAATATGATGCTTTTTGCTGGATATTTTTTTATTTTTTTATTTTTAATTAGAGATAAAGCCCCCTTTGTTTTTCCTGTCTTTTTTTTTTTTTTTTTTTGGTTTCCTTTAAAAGTTAGATATTCTTTGTGCCTTGAATCTTAATAACATTTCTTTGAGCTTTGTCACAATCAGTCATGTTCCATTGCATAACCATTATTTGGACGTCTACTTCTATGGCAAAAGATGATTTGGAAAGCCCGATAATTTCAATAGATTTAAGTATTACAGTATTAACAAAATATCATTCTCTGTAGCAGAATCATTCATTGAGTTTTTATAAAATAGCACTAATAAACATTTTCATTTGGCCAACTTGTTGATTTAAGATGGTGCTATTAGTTTTATCAAACTAGTCGTTTTGTGATGCAAAGTATCTCTATATTCATAAGATATTTGAATCTAACATTTATTCAAGAAAAGATCAATATAAATTTTATTTACTAAGCTAGGGATGTCAAAGCGGGTTTATAGGTCGAGTTTGGGTCTCACCTGAAACTGTTTGACTCAAATTTGACCCAAAATTGATTGACCCAAGCTCAACATAAATATTAGATCCGAGTGAATTTTGGGTTGAAGGATCAATTTTGAGTCAATTTTGGGTTGATGGGCCAACGTTAGGTTTTTGTACCTGAATCCGACTTGAAATTTAATCAGGTCTGACGAGCTATTGGTTTTTTCGAGTCTTTGGCTTCTAGTTGAGTTGATGTGTTAGGTCAATTTTTGATATTTCTAATTAAGCTTTGAAAGCCAGTTGATATATTTACTAACAACTATATTAAAATTGTATTCACTCTATCATCATCAAGTCTGCAAACTTATGCCAACTTAACAAGTTTAGTATTAATAAAGTTGTTTATTTTATAGAGTTTTTAGTAGGGTTGTTTGTTATTTAATCTCAAGAAAATCTAATTTTAGCACAAAATCAACTTAAAATGATCACAACTCATAATTTTTTCTTCTCATTAAAGGTTTTAAGAAGAAATGTATAGAAATGGAGCTAATAAAAGTATTAGCTCCAATTGGACACTATAGATTGCTAAATAATAATAATCAATATTATGGTAATGAAAATTTTTTTAATTTTTGTGCTTCTAAAAGCTTGTCTATTGTCAAATAT